ACCAGCACAGTCCGCAGTCAATAACAGTCAACACATTGCTACTGCTGAGTACTGTTTCAGCAATTATTCTGAGTATTTTGAATCACTTGGACATGTTCCCCAGCAACAGAGCTTAGCAATAACCATGTTTGTAGTTTGGGATAAATTTAAATTCGTTTTAGCACAGATAAAATAAATAAAAACGTCAATTTAGACCAATTTATGTTCGCTGCTAGTACAATTCTATACAAAATGTTAGTTTGTTTGTCTGAGTCTCGCGGGGGGTCTTCATTTGGAAAATCTATTTTTAGCTACTGCGGACAACGCTATTGTCTGACATTAACCAGAAATTAAAAATCTGTCTCATTACATTTATTTTTGTTTCTCAATGTAGATTGCAAGTACTGTACATGTATTTTGCAACTCATTCATTAAACACATAAAAATGTGCCTTTATTTTACTCAGTCATACCGCATATGATATTGCTTGTAAAGGGGGATGATACATTTAGGCTAGGGCGGTTCTTAAAAAAATGAAAACCATCAGGAAAAAAACAGAAAGACTGGTTTTTATCTATAGATAACACAGACGGTGCAGCAATGTGTTTTTATACTGATGGAGACGTTAGCCTTTTTATATTGTTTTTTTTTCCAGCTCTTCATATTTTTTCAGTGATTGGACTTTGGCAAAACTGAAAAAAAAATTTTTGAAAAAACTGGTATTTTCTGGTATACTGAAAAACCATCCCAGCCTAGATACAGCACTATTATGCCTTATAATATTAATGTTTACTTTACAGTTAAAACTAATTTGTTTCCAATAAAAATAGAAACAAACAAGAAACAATTATACATAACATAAGTAATTACAAATACCAAACAGATACTATTTTATATGCATTCCTCAGATATAAATAATATAAAAACAACAAATCCTCACCATAAAATGCCATGTACATTATTTTGCTCGTTCCTCATATATTGAAGCCCATAATGAAAGATGATCAGTCATCCATTTGTGAAGGTCTCTATAATCTATTCCTTCTAAGAGGTTTGCTTCAAATTTTGGAAACGATTTGTGACCTTCTCCTTCCAGGGGTCAGCAGGAAAACTTGTTTTTTCATCAAGTCTCCAAGAATTTGTGTGACGCTTTCTTCAGGATCTTTCTTAGAATGTCGTCCTTGCCTTTTTTCCAATCTACAGTCAGTGTCAATGGAGCTCATAAGATCTTCAATTGAATCTAATGCTTTAGCTACTCGAGATGCACTCTGTTCTGACAGGTTTGACCCAAGACCTTTCCACATCGTTTTCAACACTTTGTTTTGTTGTTCCTTTTTCAAATCGAGAGGGATATTCCTACCCTTTCCACCAAACTTGTTGTGAAATCTGTTCCACTTTAAATCACATGCCTCTGACTCTGACAATATAGCTTTTATCTGGCTCGAATATAAAAGAACTGCATATGCATACTTAAAATGACCATACTTTCTATAGAAAAGCATTGCTAATTTATACACTTTGAATAAGCGTTCTCCATCTCCTTCCTTTACAGCATCGTTGAATTCCAATAGAAGTAAACCATATGTTAGCTTGGCAGTGTGGTAGTTGTATAGATAGTCTTGCTCACTACAATCATCATCAACACTTTCAGTGTCATTTACAGGTGCAGCAACACTACCATGTGTACGTTCTTCATGCCTGTAAATGTTAAATATATGTTTATAAGGTACTGATACATGCAAACTTATTGCATTATAAGAATCTCCTTGACAACAAACATCTGGCATTAGAAAGAGCAAGGAAAACTAAGATAGGGCACATTTGAGTGCATTGTCATCCAATGTGTTAATGCACCTATTGATTAACCCATTGACAGAGACATTAGACAGAGTAAAACAATAAAGTGGGGCGCATTGGGGTGCATTGCCACTTAAAGGGTTAATTCATTACATATAGTTATATATAGTTGTAGTTCTATGAACTTATAAGTTGTCTGATTATTTAAATTCTCACTTTGTTCTCGTTGCTTTTGTTGAAAAAACATAGCCACAACCATGTTGGCAGTAGTAATATCCATATTCATCTCGCTCACCATCTATCTTGTTAAAATGGTGACCATGATTCTTTATCTCATGCCTGAAAACATGAATAGAGTACTTCTAAGTAACCATGACATTAGACAGAGTGAACCCATGATTTCCATACAAATTTTTATACATTTCCTTCATTGTATTGGAGCCAGGGGCATCAGAAGTTGGGGGCATCTCTCCACTTTTTTAGTTGAGTGGCCTAACAGGGGCGGATCTAGGATTTTTCGCACGTTAGTCAAAATTTTATGACGTCATCGATGACGCAAAACGTGATGACGTCATTTGACATGACGTCATTTGATGTCAGGATGGTAGTCCAATTTTTGTGGAAGTATAGATATTTTGTTTTATCAAACTACAAATGCGTAAATGACATAATTTTCGTACTTGCCAATGTTCAGCATATGTTATATTAATATATAGACTGTTTCGCCCTACAGTGTATACCTTGGCTCATCAGCATGCCTAGGAAACACGTTTACCAAAAATAGTAAACCATGATCCAACAAGGCAACAAGGACAGCTCCTTCAAAAAGCTGAACACAAGCACAGGTTTCTGGCTCCTTAAAAACAGATTGCTTGCCTTCACACCTTTTGCAAGAGCAAAAGGAGTTTGGCTAGAACTTAGAAATGGGTGATAATAAAATGAACAATGAACACCACCTAAAATGAGCAATCTGGTTTTAAGGTGCCATAAACCCACCTCACACCTTTCACCGCAGCAAAAGGAGCTTGGTTAAAAATGGGTGACAATACGGGACATTTCATGGATTTGTAAATTGCCTTGTTTTTCCCTTTAGCCCCTTCCCCAGTCCTCCTAGCTATTACTAACCTATGTCTAATCTAATTAAATTCATCATCTTGTTATATACTGTCCACTATGAAAATGTATAATATCACAAGTGAAATGGTGCCTCAAAGCTGCAGCTTCAGTGGAAGCCAACTTTTATTGAAAACAAGTTTGTTTTACCTGGCATTTTAAACATATTTTAATCACAGTCGATTCAAATACAAAATATTTCATTACAAATAACTATTACTTCACTTATCTAGTTATCTGAAATATTAAATTGGCAAGGTTTTTAACACAGTAAATTCTATTATTCCTATACTATGCTTATACATACTCTATATAGACAGTCACATACTATCAACATGGAGTTTGTCTGTCAGGGCCTGAAATAATGTTCCCAAAGTTCCCGATCATGGTGATCGGCAGTCATGACTTTCCCTGCTTTTTCAGGTTGGAAACCCTGCTTTTCCGCCGATCATAAGCAATTTCTTGCCTATTATTGATTGGTGATCAGTTGTTATTTCAAGCCCTGGTCTGTTGAAAAATTTAACTGGTTCAAGATGCAATGGACCTGTCTCAAGCCAATGAGATCAGACCCGATATTTGGCATCAGCTTTTGTCTACAAAGCCTGAATGTTTGGGGGGGGGGGGGGGGGATTATGGGAAGGTGGTGATGTTGAAAGGCTAAGTTTGGTTGATGAAGAAGATCCAAACCCCAGGAAGTTTTTTCTCATGTCAGTGTTGTGTACAAGAGTGAGGTTATTAATTGCTATTGGAGGCGAGAGTGGTCTTTTTGCAAGCCGAGATATTTAACTTTAACCACATGTTCCAGAAAATTTATCAATAACGTTTCCTACAGTACATATGTTAGGAATAATTTCCTGGTGAATTTGCATCATGACCAAGCCAAGTCATTTAATTTAAGTAGTCTTCAACCATAGTTCGCTTATAGCCTTTTAGTGTCCTATAAGTGCCGAAATAGACCTTTCACACTTGCACTGTAAATATTTAAACTATCAAGGTCAAACTAGGTCATTGGTACCTGTCAATGCTTAGGAAACAGAGCTATACAAGCAATTGCCAGTTGCATCAGATCTAAAAGTATAACCAAAGATTATATTATTATTATCTTTATAAAGTACATTTGCAGAGCTATTATCAGTCAATCAATACTCTATAAAGCATGTACACAATAAATATTTTTTATCCAACATGATCAAATATTTGAGATCAAATTTCTGCCACTTGAGGTGTTTTAATTTTATACACATAATGAATATATATGCAGTATATAAAACTTTGGACCTAACCTCGCACAATTATGCAAATCGTACGTTCAATTCAACGATTTATTGTTCAAAATTCAAACCACTTTACCTTATTGCAATACACCTCTTTATAATCTCCTGAAATAGACGACGAGAATTCGAGAAATCAACACATCTCAGCTAGATAGTTTCGGCCAAGACAATTTTCTTGCATCAATCGAATTTATCTGCTTGAAATATTCTCCACAGAACACCAGTAAGCATTCCTTATCGTCACTTTCAAATAACGATCTAACCTTTTCGAAATCTACGTCGTTCATTTCGATAATACTAAATAAATTGCTTGTAAAATTGTACAAAACTGCAATAAAGCTACCAAGTGCACAATGCTTCCAAATTGAAGATTAGATGGCCAATCAGAGGAGATGTTCTTTAACTCTTTTGCGCAAATTGTCCAATCAGAGGCTGTTATCTATTTGCAGAATTAGTCAAAATAGTCAAAATTTCGCAATCGTTAGTCAAAATAGGTCTGACCAATCAACATGTCTGTAATGTGTAATCAGAGCAAATTTGACCAATCAAATCACATGAACTAAAACGCAGAATAGTCAATTTTCATTTGAATACCGCTTATTTGACTTATCGTTTGACTAATCAATCGCTGGCTCAATGTGCAAAAACTGATCGAAGTTTATATGCTGAAGTGTGACAGAGTTTTGATTGCGTGATCAGAAATGAAGAGAAGTGTTTGCGCTGGGAAAAAATTCAAAAACCTTAGTCCAAATTTTTTTATAATGCCTTTTTTTTACGTTAGTCGCGTGACTAATCTGACTACCCCTAGATCCGCCCCTGGCTTGGCTGACTTGTTTCTCTATAACATGCTTTCGAATATCCGGTTTGATCAAGTCCAACCGTGTGCGTAAATTTCATCCCATGAGGAGAGTTGCTGGTGTTTCACCAGTCGTGCTGTGTGGTGTGTTTCTATATTTCATTAGGAATTTGGATAGTTTGGTCTGCGTGGAGCCAAGATCTTCCTTCATTGAAGTCAAAGATTGTTTCATGGTTTGAATGAATCTTTCTGCTAAGCCGTTTGTGGCTGGATGATACGGTGCTGAAGTTACGTGTTTAACTGCGTTTTTCTTTAGAAACAGCTGGAATTCTTCTGCAGTGAATTGAGGACCATTATCGCTAACCAGTTGTTCTGGTAACCCATTTCGAGCAAACACTGTTCGCAGGGCTTCGACAGTTTTGGAGGTTGTTGTTTTTGAGTGCATGGTTATTACCTCTGACCATTTTGAGTGAGCGTCAACAATCACTAAAAACATCATTCCAAGGAATGGTCCTGCAAAATCGACATGAATACATTGCCAGGGAGTAGATGGCCACTCCCATGGGTGTAATGGTGAGCATTTGGGGTCATGTTGAACCCGCTGGCAACCACTGCATCCTTTTGCGAGCCCTTCAATCTCCAAATCAATCAATTTCCTCCATGACTTATGCCTATGGAGAAATATGTATACCCACTTTTGTATCAACTATCAAGCCTTTATAACCAGTATTGATTTGATAATCTATATAAATCGCTTACCATTGTGCAATTATGTGTGCTTCGTCGTATGCTACTCCAATACAATGATCTCGAAATTTTTCAGAGCACAAAATCTTTCTCCACGCTTTTTTACCAAGTAAACATTCAGGGGAAGCAAACACCAAGGAATATTCGCCTTCTCTCACGTTTTTAAGAATATTTTCATACTCGCGATCGCTTGCCGTTGTAGCATTCGAACTGTTCTCCGAATACAGAGCAATTGAATAAATACCAATCTCTTTCATGTGGTTACATTGATCTTCCATTAAAGATTTTAATGGCGAGATCACAATTAGCGTTGAAATTCCAATTGTTCTTGAAGTATATCATAAACCCAAGATAGCGACTGGAATACAATGGATTTTCCATATCCCGTTGGGCGTTAAAGAACATATTTTGACCATTGCAAAAAGCTTTTATCAATTCATTTGATCATCGTACAGCTCATCAATCTTAAACACATATTTTATTAAATTAAAAGCCTCTTGATATCTTTTATTCATGTGCTCCACTCCTTCGGGGGCCATGTCATTTGCATAAATTATGAAATTAAGTCAAATTAACGAAATATGCGCTACGTCATGCATACATTTACCCCATTTCTGTGGACATCTCTGGACGAGAAATTTGAGAATATTGCACAGTCCACACACAACGGTGTAGTGGACTGGAACACAGGCTAATTGCGTCCTTGCTGAAACCTTGTTGAGAATTATTACCGCGTCAGTAGATGCAAAATAATTTGATGTTTAGAAATAATATACAACTCAGCATTTTAGTCACAAAATGTAAGCGAAACGTTTTGGAAAATGCAGGGAAAATAATATTATATTCGTTGTACTCGTGACTTCACGAATTTCAAATGGGTCACATATGCTGGCTTCAACTTGTTTTCTGTCTATTTTTAACTATCTATGGTTTCATTTTTTAATTTTCATCGATCAGTTCTTTATAAAAATATTTCCAACATAAAACGTTGCGTAGTCAGTCGCGGTGCTGCGTTCTTTATTTTCTTTTCACCATACAAGAATATGATTGTTACGTCGTCGTGAAGGTCACTACGGTGAAAAAGTGTTCTAGGGGATATGTAAATTTTGTTTGTTTCACTTCAAGCAATGTGAGTTAAAACAAGCACTTAATCGTTTCCGTATCAGTTGTTCGTTGTCGGCATTTTAAACTTCCTATATTCTGTGGGAGCTGAAATTAAACCTGAGTGTTATACAAGTATACTTGAGCCCGAAACGAGAATCGCACCGATGATTCCATGAAGTGGTGAAAAGCGCTTGTTTTACCAAGACACGTGTGGGCCATGCAAGGGGCTTCGGTCGTTATAGCAAGAGCGTTTCACCTCTGAGATCGTCGGTTCAATTCTCGCGACGGACTCATGTGAAAGGTTGTCAACGTTCTGCCCAAAAGTCGTGAGTTTTTTTCGGGCGCTCCGGTTTCCTTTCACAGGGAAGGTTGGCAGGGTGCGCTAGGATAAATATAGCTGGGAAAATAATATCAGTACTGTTGGTAATCTATAGGCTAAGTAAGTGACATAAATAAGCGTAATACTTGATGTATAATATAGGTCACTGAAAATCCCCAATAGGGAGTGAGCTGAATAGTAATGTAATGTAGATGATGAGCAAAATGGAGAACTTAATGAAGCGAATTTTTGTTCACGATCGCCGATCACAAGTCAGTAAAACTGTTATTGATGGTGAAAACCATTTTCGTTGGAAATGTATGGTGAAGTTACATTTACTATTGTTCTTCATTTCGTCTGCATGGCAACGCCATATTTTTATTAAGTCTTTATTGACAGCTAGAGACTGTATATGTTTATAATAAAACTACAATTACAGTAATATGATGTAAAAAATTATCATAATCGCAAAATTGTTTCAGTTCCGGATCAATCGATGCCCATTCAAAAAGAACTCTATCTTGCTCTCCTATCAGCGCATGCAGACATTTTGTATTCTTCTAACGTGTGTGAATTATGTGTGATGGTATAAATAACATCCATCTAATATTTTCACAGGTGAGATACATTGCCAATAGTTGCCAGGTGGCTAAAACAGGTAAATATTCATCTCAAATCATTAATCATCCATGAGTATAAATTACCCAGCCATGTTACTTTAATTTGTTTATATGATCATGCCGGATACCTGGTGAAGAATATCAATTACCGAGTGGAGTTGGACGGGATAAAAAATAATTCTCTTCAATTTAAGTAGTAACTTATTTGTATGATATGTCGTTCGGAAGTAATCTACAGCCTCCTATACCGTTATGGGAACAGGTCAAAGCTGGTTGAGGGAAAAGGCGGCTTTCCATTTTATTTTTTATTTTTTATTTTTTATTTTTTATTTTTATTTTTCATTTTTTATTTTTTATTTTTTATTTTTTATTTTTTATTTTTTATTTTTTATTTTTTGTTACTAGCGTATGTGACCTAGCTATTTTCATTCTTTACTTTTCGTTTGTGCAAGATTGATCAAGAGTTGTACGCTCTACTTTCTTGTGTAACTTGCTCTGAAAGTTGAAAGTTTTATTAAATGTTTTAGTACTGATTATTATAAAATAAATTTTGATCAGTCCAGCCAATTTTTTAGAAGCTGGCGACGATGAATAACAGAGTTACTTTTTAAAGAAAAGGGCTTATCAAAATCGTAGAAAGAATGGCCTGAGGGAAGGTTGTGAAGCTCTTTCGGAAAACGTCACTCTAATTTTATTTCTATTCTTTTCTCAGAGCCGAAGTGCGAAGTGATTCTTTATTATAATGCATCCCATTACACGACCTGGGAGGATGCAAAAAACAGTTGCTTGCAGTGTAACGCAACCTTACTGGACTACAAGCGAGATATACAAAGGTGCATTAGCCACAAATCTGGCAATGGAATTTGGATTGGACTTAAGAAAAACGCATCAGATGTTACTGAATCAGTTTGCAAGGCAAACATGGACGATTTATTTAAAATAAGAAAGTGCGAAATTCGAAATATAGCTGGAGATTTTAGAAATGTTTCGTGTTCAGATAAATTACTTCCATCATTTTGTAAGAAAGGTATAGTGGATGTATATGTTTGCTCTATAAGTGTTCTTGCAATATGAGGTTAAAGAACTTTTATGGAAGTGATGCATAACATAATTTTATCGTCCGCACGTGTAAAGAAGATGTGTCCGCGTTTCAAGATGCGTTCGCACTGCTTGTTTGTAGTTGTTGAGAAGTCTGAAACCAGTTATTGTTATCATCTTGTAAAAAGGTTGATGCGGCGAATAGACACGCAGCAAGTTTTTCCAACAAGTCTATTTTCTGCACGTAACAAGTTGTTAACAAATTGGTGACAACAAGCTCGTAGCAACTTATTACGAAGTGAACAGCCTGTATTCGTGTTGTAATCATAGCTTAAATTTTGGCAAGGTTGCTAGCGTCAATAAATTATATTAACCTAGCTGTTCCAGACTTGTTAAAAAACAAGCTTGCAGTGCAAACATATCGGCTTGACAACAGCTCCGTTACAAATTGTTTGCAGAATTGTAACAATTCAACTTGCGCGGTTCACGAATGTTTGTTTATACCTGCATGGTTTGTGTGAAAATTTTGCATTTTGGTCTTCATAGCGTTTTATTTCAATTGCTGACATCATTTTAATTTTCCATTTTAGAAAAACAATGCGCTATATCTCTCTATTTTGTCTGGTGACCTATATTCAAATTTTGCATGCTGTATTGCACCGCTGAAAACTTTCATCATACAAAAAATAAAAAAATTCTGTAATGCCAAAAATATTTTACCGCAGAGTACGACATTTTCGCATTTTCCATAGAAATGGCATTACGGAATTTTTTATATTTTGCTAATTCTTAGCTTTTCGTCCAAGTAAAATAATGCACGAAAAGAAATTGGGGGTCATCATGCTTCTTTTCCAACTATAGGAGACAATAGACTATTTTTGAGTGAATTTCGTACACGTTAGTTATATTAAAACTAACATAATTTAAAAGTAGAGATATCAAAATATGTAAAACCCCCAACATCTGCTGAATAAATCCTAAAAATGCGTGGTTTAAACATGTCAAAGTGTTGAACACCTGAATTTTTGAAAACTGTATCAAGCCACCTTAAACATAAAAATTGATTTCGATCGACTACATTGTTGTCTTCACCATTTTATTTGTTTGAATTGTTTACTTTGTGAAATATTTGCTTACTTTGATTATTTCTCCTGTATTTGCGCGTTTGAGTATATCAGGGTTTTTAGTATTTAGTAATATCTTTCCACTCGTTTCCCTTTAGTATTAAAATGTCCTCCTATAATATAGTATATTGTTTTATTAGGGAAATGTAAAGATCGTTGCATGGGAAATAACAGGCGATGTTTTCTTCCAGTCCATGGCAGAATGACCTGGTTTGGTGCATTTGCCCACTGCAAGGATGGGTTACTTAATAGAGAACATTTTTCCAAAGATTCGCTTTGTAATGCCTCTCGGACAAATCATACTTCTCATTTTTGGACAGGAAATGTTTATGAAAGTAATATTAATCCACGTGCCAATTGGACATGGCAGAATGGTAGCTTATTCAAAGAATGGGATAAATGGAAAATAATAATTACTGATGTTGGTTGTGGTGGTTGTGGTTTTTGGAAAAATGGAACAATTTATCTAACCTCAAATTGTTCACAAAAGTTTTCTTACTATTGTAATGGGAGTGGTAAGTTCTGAAACCGTAACTATCTTTAACGACAGGACCTGGAAGCCGCCTTTGACCATCACGACAGTCACATAAAATTATGTTACCGTTATAATAATAATAATAATAATAATAATAATGGCTTTATTTCCCACATTTCAATAGGGGATACGCTAAATTATAATGTGTTTACAATTTAGTTCAACTACTTGTTAAAAACTACAACTGATTCTAGAATATTACATGCATATACAAAATTATATCTAAAATACGACTAAAATATTTCTAAACATTAGTATTTAGGTTAAGTTGATCGCCAATTACACTACTCGTATATTCCAAACACAATCTGCCCACCTGACAAAACAATTTCTTAGCATCATATTAACATTCTCAATTTAAAAACTACAGTTCTAGCCTATCGTTACATTTATCTATTGCATATACTAACGGACTGCGTTTAAATCGTTCAGTTCTGCAGAAGAAGTTATAAAATTTGTCCCGATTTGTTCTAGTTTCTCTTTCTTTCACCTTAGAGCATTTTCTAAGAAGCAATGAATGTAATTTATGTGATGGCTC